TTTCTGCATCCCAACAATGAATGTGCTGCTGTGGCATATCCCTTTCCATGCCTCTTGCTAAATGTATGTATATGGGCGCAATGCATCAGATCACTTCTGTGGCTTGCATAACTCTTTTGCAAACAAATGCTTTTGATTTGTGCTGTTTGTACTCTTAGGAACCCCTAAATTAATGCACCAGCTTGATCTATTTCATGTTAGCTAACCTCCCCCTCTCCCCCCTGCATTCAACTTGATATAAACAAACTAACATAAAAATACAACCAAAGCATTGTGCAGGTAAACTAAAATAAATTTTGAGAAAACCAGACCCTTCCCAACTCTTAGTGCTAAGGTTTGATTGCAGATTTCCATTGCAAAGGAGCAGAGAACTGGAAATCTGACAAATGCCTTCAAATTGACCTGTATTTTCACAATGCACACTGTGTTTAAAATGAATGGCAGACTTTATCACTTGGAGCTACTTCAAGGACTCTAGGCCTCTGTTTTATTCTGATTCTTTAAACATATTTCCAAGAAGCAGAAAATCATATCAACAATTCATATTATGGACTTTTTCTAAGCTGGGTTACATTTTACAATGGGTTATTGTCTTATTTAAACAGGAATTTTGAAAAATAGCTTGGAACTTCTCCCTTTACATGCAGGCATCATTATCATGAACTGCTCCGTAGGGCTGATGGATTGGAAGATCTAATAGGTCTTTTCTATCTTTAGCATCAATGACTTCCACCTCACCCAAAACATTAGAGTAAGTACTATTCAACCAGTTTGGAGTTCTGTTTGAAATTGTGGCCTGGTTGCCGCTCCCCGCTGACTCCTTGCATTAATCTGATTTCACTGGGGCCATACCCGGTTTTCTGTCCCACTCATGCTTGTTGGGTAGCTAAACTGCATTTCCACGGAAGGGCCCTGCCTCCATACAAGACGTAGGGACCCAGAATCATGCCTCAAGTCTATTCACCATGGATAACCACCACTCATCTAGGAACTCAGTCAGCAGAAAACTATAACCGTTGTATCAGGAATTAAGCAGTTTTCAGCCAGCGCGTTCCTAAAATGCTTTAGTCTTCATGCAACTTTTTAAAGAAAAGCAAATTTTGTAAATATATTCGTTAGTCTTTAAATTGTACAAAACTCTGTTTTTCGTTCCATTCGTGCAAAATAGATAAATGCAATGGTATACTTCTACATACATATCCCTCTGATATGCAGGTCAAAAAAATTAGATGGATAAACAGTTTGTATTTCTTGATGCAATTATTCATGTGTTGTTTTTCTATATGAAAATACTTACATTTTTGAAGTCTTACAAGGTAAGTTTGAGAGCTTTCCATTAAATACATGAGATATCCAAACAAAAGATGAAATACTTTCCTATTAACGTAAAGGTGTGCATATAAATAAAATGGAGGCAACCCTAGTGACTCTGCAGTTGGGATTATGTTGATTTCCACTTAAAAACCAAGACTAAAACTGATATTTTATACTGTAATGATAGAATTTAATCTCCAAACTCTTTAAAGAACAATTGAATTTTCTAATTACTATTACCAACCTGTACATATAAAATTTACTATATGCCATTTGTAACCATTATCTACAGCTATTTCAGCATCCTTTAGTCAGATTTCTGTGTTTGCATAAGGGTTTAATAACTGCAGGACAGTTCAGATGACTCAGTAAGCTCTGCACAGCCTCTGTACACTGAAAAGGGGAACTCTTCCTTTTTTCTTCTATTTCTCCTCATCTATCCTATTGGTGAGGCTGGGGGGGAGGGAATCTCTCTCTCCCCAGCTCCCTTAATTCCCTTCGCCTCATCTTCTGCCCTTTCCAGAGGCAGAAGAAAGGCATCTTAGGACTTGACCCCAGAGCAGAGCTGCTTGTGACTGGACCCGGCTCTGGGAGGAAAAAGAGGAAGAGTGCAACCCTCTCCCCTTGCTTTTCTGCTTAACCCTTTAGTTACTCTGAAACGGAGAAGTAGCATTAGTGCCTCTAACCCCAGCTGTGCTGCTGCCCTCGTCCTTTTCTGGGCACTTTGGATCACTTAGAAAGCATAGAAGAACAAGAATGCAGGAGCACTGAGAGACTGTCCCAGGAGGGGAGAGAGCAACAGAACCAGAGGAATACCACAGAGTTGCCAAAAAGAAGGATGTTTGGTTAGTGTTGAGTACCCAGACACATGCACTTTGGCATGTTCGCATTTATAAAACTATACGTTTTCATAGGAAGTGAATGGACAGTAACACAGACTAGACTGCACAGATAAAGGTACATGTCTAATAGGGGGTGTGTGCATGTATGTTATTTCTAAGGCACCTATCACCATAGTATCTAGTATTAGACTTCCTTGCCCCTTATCCACATGTTTACTTTTTCCCTGTACCCTGGAGAAAAATGTGTACACAGAGAATGGGTCCTGCCTGACTGTCCCACTACATCTACAACCTTTGGAGAAAATATGCTCTCCTTAAAAACTGTACCAGGAATTAGCAGGCAATTGTTGCCTTTATTCTGTTCTCCTAGCTTCACTGTCATCGAATCAATTTGTTTTATATTCACAAAGAATGACAGCTACAAATTCTGTGTACCTCTATAGACAGCACACGGAGCAGCCTTCCAAAATTCTGCTTGCCCGAGGCAAGTAGGATTTTTGTTTTTTATAGGCACGTTAATTTTTTTCAGTTATCATAGTACGAATGGGCAAACAGATTTTTGTGCAGGGACAGGTAAATTTCCATGACTGTTTTGCAAGGCTGACAGAAGTACATGCTTGCCTCCATATACTTATTGATGTGTGTAAATTCACAAATGACATACCAGCATGCAAATAGTTACACACCCTCTATGCATAGCTCTTAGTGTTCATAATTTACAAATAAAATTATATACTAATTTAAATGCCCATTTTCTTATATCTCACAAACATCCAAAAATTGCAAAATACCTTTATTAATTTACCAGATAATAGCGGTTATTTGGATTTCTAGCGTTCCTTCCCTTTTTCTACTAAAATTGTAAAGACTTCAAAATTACCACCTCAATATTAAATAATGCATGCTTGGTAGGTTTAGAGAATTAAAAATACAAATAGGGACTAGTTTTAGCATGCAATTTACTATACTACAATTTGAAATCCATCTATATTCAGAATCTCCCAAACGGAAACACCGACTGTAACTGGATTCCTTGTTCCGTAAAATAAAACCTCCTGATTTTAGTTATTTTGGTTACTATTTTTAAAAATATAAATTACTGACATTTTTAAAGCTTCTCTAGGTCTTCAAGGAGGAAGACGTAAGTCGGCTGCATTTTTTTCAGCAAAACTAACATGTACACAGGTTCTTGGAGACCGAGAAAAAGGGGGAAAACACAACAACATTTTAGACTGTTTTTTGCCTGATCCATCTCCTAAAAATTCAAAACTCCAGGTTCCCTCTAGTCAGCTAGATTTTACAATGACGTTGGGCTGGGGAAAAAGAGCGATTAACTGTTGCAAATGGAAAGTTTAAATACTAATCACAAATGGAACAAACTGAAAGCAAAAATGTTACCGTAACAATAAAATATTTAATCAAAGCACAGGTTCTGTTGGGACTGAAGGAATGCTACATCCTTTCCCTTAAAAAAAAAAAGGGGGGGGGGGAAGAGAAGAGAGAGAAAGCAAGCAAGAAAAAAGGCAGAGGCACAGCCGCCTCCTGGAGTTCCCCATTGTCCAGGGCTATAGAGAGCCCCAGAATGGCATTAACCTCACAAAAGGCACATTGTGCTGAGGACAAAAAAAGCCCCTTCTTCTACAATAACTTTTAGCTTTTTATTTTTAGAAAATGACAAAGCTTTTGCAGCAATGGCTGGTGAAACCTGTAGCCCGATTTCCAGCGAGGCTGGACTTGGCTTTATTGATCAGCTGTCCCGCTTGGAAAAGCAGCCAGGAAAGTTTGAATGGGAACTCGATGTTGGTTCCTAGAGAGGAAAGCCCGATTTGTTAAACTGAGCGTTCCGCATAAAAACAGCTTTATTCCCCAGCGAGGGTCGGGGTGAGCCCGGGGGCTTCCTGAGCCGGGCAGGAGCGGGCTCTCCGCACCTAGGCTGGGCTAGGCACGGCACGCGTGGGGCGCTCCCCGCAGCCTGCTCCCCGAGCTCGCCTCCCAGAGCAGGGGAGCTCGGCGGCTGCTCCGGGACACGCGTGCAAGTGGCATTGCGATGCTGCTAATTCAGCGGGCGAAGTTACACAAGTGCATCCTGGTCATTAAAGCTCGGGCAGCCGCTGGGCGCTGAGGCTCGGGCCGGAGGAACACGGCGGGGTTTGCCGGCCTGGGGGCAGGTAGGGCGGCAGAGTCCGCGGCTGCCGCCGGCCTTTGCAGCGCCGTGATTGCAGCGCTCTCCTGGGGCTGGGGCTGGGGCGGGGCAGGGCAAGCCGGGGGGGAGGGCGGCTCCGCGCCGGGCCCGCAGCTCCAGGCGCTTCCCCGAGCTCGCCCGGCCGCTGCTCCTACTCCTACAGACGGGCAAAGTTGCGCTTGTTTCCAGCTGCAACTTTCCCAGCTCTTCGCGGGAACTTCCCGGCGCTGGGGTCTCCCCGGCCCGCGCGGGCCTGGCCGGGCAGGTGGCCGGGAGCGCAGCCCGCCGCGCAGAGCGGGAGCGGGGCCGGGTCAGCGCCCAGCGGGTGCGGGAGCCTCAGCCCAGCCCCCTCCGGCTCGGCTCGGCGGCGGCTCGGGTCCCGGGGCCCCCCCGAGCGGTGCCGGGGGCCGGCCACATGCCCCAAGTTTCGCTGCGCTGCCGCCGCCGCCACCGCCGCGCTCCCCCGCCCGCTCCTCGCTCGCTCGCTCGCTCCCTCCCCGCCGCCTGGGCTGAATCTTATTGATCCAGAAGGTGGCTAATTAGCCCTTCCCGTCGTGCCTGGGTAATGAGGCACATGCGCACTGCACTAATCAGCCATTTTTTGCAGGAAACTAATTAGCAGAATAAAGATCCAAAGAGTTTTTTTTCTTCCCAATCATCAGATCTGAGTCCGGGCGCTTCCTGCTCCAGCGACCGCCAACCCCACCGCCCGCTCCGCCCCGACCGCCGCTGCTGCTGCTGCCGCCCGTGGCCCCCTCTCTCCGGGGGGCTGCAAACTCCCCAACAACGATGCTGCTGCTGGGCAGCGGCGGCGGCGGCGGCGGCTCCTGCTCGGCTCCGGCTGCTGCCTCCTGCTCCCGCTGCTGCTGCCCCGGGCTCCTCCTCGGAGCGCGCCGCTCCTGCCGCTGCAGCCGCGGCAGCCTGCATGGGATCCGTGGCCCCAGCGCCTCTGCCCGGGATTAAAAGCGCCGCCGCCGCCGCTGCCGGAGAAGCGACCGTGTAAGTGGCAACTTTCCTGCCCTGTCCCCCGCTCGGGCTCCTCCTGCTCGGGGCGCTCGGGCTGCTTTGCATGGGGCTGGTCCTGCCCCCCTCCCTCCCTCTCTCTCCCACCCGCCCAGCTCGGATCCCGCAGCAAACTTTGTGCCGCTCGCTGTCCCGGAGCCCCGCCGGGGACCGAGCCGGCCGGGGAGCTGCCCCGGGACACGCTCCGCGCCGGCCCCCGCGATCGCTGCCGCCCGCTGCCCTGGTCTCGGGCTGCAGCTCGCAGGTGTCTCGGGCTCGGGGATCGCTCCGGCTCCGGCAGGCACCGCGAGCCCCAGGAGGCGGGGGACGCGCCGGCTCCCGAGGAGATGCCCAGCGCCCACGGACTGCTGCGTGCCCTGCCCGGCGGCGCCCGGGACAATGGCAGCGAGCGAGCGGGGATCGGTGCCGAGGGCTGCGCGCAGGGAGGAGGCTGCCTCGCCTGCCCAGGGCTGGGGTGACCCTGGCGGGGCTGCGGAGCGCGCTTGGGGCGCAGGGTTAGGTTACGAATTACACAGCAGACATTCCCTTCGGGACAGGAGCGGGCTCCCGGCTCGGCTCCAGGCCCCCGAGATTTCTGCCCTTTTTGAAGAGTGCCTGGGGAGGGACAGGAACTTGGTCTGAGTGGGTTAAAATACAGGTTTGTGGGGGACGAGAGAACATTGATCCGAATAATCTGCATAATCGATAGGGCAATGTGCAGAAATCGTGTCCCTCCATTTACTGTAAATTTCTCTAATCTCTGCAGCGAGGCTGCCCGAGTGCAGCTTCCCTCCTCCTAGTGTGCGTTTCGTTGCAGCCCGCACCCCCAATTTACAGTCGGCTCTCGACAACTGTCTGCTTCGCTTCCAAATTCCGTCCCTTTACTTTCCTCTTCAGTGCCGTCTTTGTGTGTATTTTTTCCGGGTAGGTGTTGAGAGGTTTAATAGGAGATGTCTTTAAACTCGACCAGTTCCTGAATGTGGATTAATGTAGTCGTTTGCTAGTCTTTCAAATGAACAATAACACTTCCTCGGATCCCTTCTCTGTTAATCTAGGGTTAGCTTTCAGCTGTGTTGTGTCATATAATTCTGTACAATTAATACACCAAAGAGCAATTTTTAAAAATTTTAATTTTTAAAAAAATTGTTCCAGTGCAGACACCATTCCATCCTTGTGCCAGTCCCTGTAATCCTGCTGCCTTAGGTGAATTTGTGTTTGGGATGTATTTTGAAAGAGAAGTTCAACTTAGTCTGGCTGGTCCTTTATTTTATTAACATGTAAGTGGAGCTAGTTTTGAAGACTGTGGTTAGGGGGATGGGAGAGGTGAAGGCAGAAAATGCCACTGTAGGCCAATCCCTCCTTTCTCAGTTTCAGTTTTTAATTACTTAATGCTGAATTGCACAGTGCTTATCTAAATATTTGCAAATGCTCTTTCCTATTGATTCCTCTGAATAAACTGTCCTCCTTTGCTTTAGAGAGGAGGTGATTCATGCTCTTTTAAAATGAAATCTCTAGAGCAGTGTGTGTATATTTTGTATATAAAAACACACACATTTTAGTTTTAATTTATAAATTGCGTGTGTGTTTTTGAAACTGTGTTAAACTCTTTTTGGGCTCAGGGAAGGATTTGTTTCTTTTTTGAACTGTGCTTGAAGCTGGTCTTTGGTAGATCCAGGACTTGGCGTGTATATATACATCTCTGCCTGCTCTTTTTCTCTCCCTCTTGTTTAATATGGAGCAATTTTCTGGAGGCTCAGTGACTCCTTCCTTAGGGTCACATTGAGTTTGAATCTCACTGAAGGTGCAGGAATCCTGCAATGGGGAAAGTAAGAGAATAGAGAGAACGGGGTCAAGTTGGTTCCTTAGAGGCCAAAACTCCCATAGCTGCCTTAAAATAAATAAATAAAATTAAGCTTCCCCTGCCATGTTACAAATTGCAGTCTACCCTTTCAGGTATTTGCTTTACAGCTTAAAGCTGCTTCTCCCTCTTCTGCGCCACCCCCCCTCCCCAAAATGGAGTGGGGAGAAGGGGAAAAAAATAAAATCCATTGAGTTTAGGCAAATAATGCTCAGTCTCCATATCCTATTACAAAGCACTTTGAATATGCAAGACATCACACAAGACCAGTTATTCCAGTTACAACAAACTTAAAAAGAGAGAAAAAGGAAAGGCAGGTTTAGATTAACTCTCTTGCACTCACAAATTACATATTTAAAGCTCTCTCTTTAATTTTTTCCCATACTCACATAGTATCAATACTTTCTTTTATGTCTTGTTCTTTCATTACAATCTTTCAGTTGAGTTTAGGAAGATTGCTGCAAGCAACACATTTTCTGTATTTTTGTTCCTGTATCTTGGAGGAGAGTTGGCAGGCATTCTGTGGTTTGCAGTTACACAATATGTTATCATGTTTTTAATCACTAAATCATTGCAGTGGTTATAGATTTACAGTCTTAGGGTATTACAGAGGAGAAACAGAGACTATATGTATTTATACGTATGAGTTTGCCTGTGTGTTTTGTGAACTTTTAAATTGTATTATTTTTCTTTTGTTTTCTGAAATAGAAGAACATTTATATTTTTGTGCCAAGTCTCCCCACATGCTTCAAAAAAGTTTGTAAAATCTTCTGATCCCAACAGAGTAGGAATTCTAATTATTGTTATGTGAAATGTTGGAGTTAAATTAATGTCGTGCTTGGGGTTAGCGAAAGGCAGTCAGGCTGTTCTCTTGTTTTAATATTAGCCATCTGCGTTGGGATTTGGCACTGATTGGAAATGGTAATATGGGAAAGAAGGACCCATGTTTTGTAGATGTCTGTGACCTAGTGTGGCATGTCATTGGTAGCCCACTTTCTGCTTCTGTTTTCATATTATTATGTAACAGAATCCTTGGTAGCATTAAAAATTCAGTATTACAAGCTGATTGTAATGCTCCCTCATTAGGGAGCGCTGTCTGGTCCTGTATTAAGTGAAACACAGAGCATGGCTTTTAGATTATAAACACCAATAAATATTAAGTATCAGCAGAGGAAAAAATAAAATTAGCTGGGCTTTCGGTCTTTTCTTAGTTCTCTACCCAATATTTGTCTGTGTTTCTTGTGAGCTATAGATCTGCTTTCCAGTGGTGACATTTTCTGTCTGTCTTGAGAGAGGTCTCTTGTATACACAAAAGGTTTAGAAGTTTGTTTTGTTTTGATCTCTATTAAACAGGTCCTTCAGTTTGCTGATGTCATTTCCTTTCATATTTGAGTTGTTTGTTGTGCCTCCCCGCCCCCCTTCTCAGCTGGAGCCTAAGGCAATGTGGGGAAGTGCAGCAGCGGAGTAAGTTCTGGGTTCAAAGGCTGAGGGTCGTATGGTGCCTTTTCGTCATTCTCTGATTTGCCGGCTTGGAAAGAAGCTCCAATCCCAATATCTGGTTAAATGCTCAGACATCAACTTTCTGTGGCCTGTCCATGGGCTGCAGTGGCAGGCGATGATTCATCTCAATTTCCTTTTCTCGCTCGCTCCCCTTTTTAATGTCTTTAATACTCCTCTCTGTCCCTCCCACCCTCCCCTCCCCCGCCAAAAAAAGTTCCGACAACTGCAATTCACTTGCAAATCTGAGGCCAGCATTAGTGGGGCTCCTGCTGTGAAAAGAACGAAAGTGTTTCTAAGTTTTTTTTTTTTTTTTCTTTTCCCTGTCGCTTTATTTCTGTTCTTCATCTCCAGCTAAACATTTCTAAGTGGCTTTTTCCTTTCCTTGGTCAGTTGACTGACTTCAGAGGTATGGGCCCTGTTCTCCTGATGTTACTAACGTTGCTATCTGGCCCAGTTCTCTCCTCTGCAAGCATTCTTCAGTCAGTAACAAAAACAAACAAACATGGGAAAGAGGAGGAAGAAAAAGAAACCAAATTTCTAACGGCAACGTTCTTTCTTTCTTTCTTTCTTTCTTTCTTTTTTAAATGTCTAGTTCTATTGGGAAAGGAGTGGCCGTTCGGCTGTTTGCTTCAGGTTTTCTGTATCCAAGCTGGAGTGAAAAATGAGCCAGCATTGACACTTGGCTTGATGTGAAACCCTGGGTAACCTCTTTCCCCTTCCATGGCTCTGGCCTTTTGTTCCTGGAGAACTGAGCTAAGGTGCTTTTCACTCGGACCAAAGGCAGCACGAGAAGTCTCCCTGTGTGCTTAGCGCCTTTGGATGGCCTCCTCATGGTTATTGTCAGAGCAGAGTCTAGCAAACAATCGCTTTGGCGAGACACAAATGCAAAAACATTTGTCCATCTTTTAATCTCTTTGTTTTAGGATTTTTTATCTCGTTCTTTAAATTTCACAGTTTCAGTTTGTGTCTTGAGAGAGATGAGTGGAACAACATGGAGCAGATTTACCGTAGGCCAGGCCAGCAGTTGAACAGATTCAGTAGAAATTGCTAAATCCTAAACTGATGCACATATGGCTAACTGCATTAGTCTCTCTGTTAACACTTTCTTCAACTTTTTAAAATAAAAATATTGTGCTGAAAAAGTAAAAAATGAAATAAGACTTCTATTTTAACTTGATATAGTATTTTGTAGGCACCATTTTTAATGACAATTTACTGCGCATACACCACACCCCCATCAGTTCTAAGCTTGTCTGTACTGGAAGAATTATTAGGCAACCATCTTATTCTAGGTTGTACTGTGGCTTGTATGAGTCGTGTTTCTGATCTAGTAATTTAATTATAAAGGTGTCGTAACACATACTGCACATAGGAGAGATTGGTGCATTTAGAAAAGACTAATTACAACCCCCCCAACCTCTTAAGGCTCTTAACTTTGTTTTTTAACGTAATACCACCTGCCTTTGTGTGGTTTGTACGACACTGAATATAAACGGATGCATCAGATGGGAGAGATGGTCCATGAACAAAGCAGGAGTCTGATTTTTTTCCCCTCCTTCTCCTCTCTTCCTCCCACCCCCCCAATATATCTGCATCAACTGGGATGCTGTATTTAGAGGTCTGTCAGATTTTCTGTTAT